ATAGTTTTGCTAATTAGAACAAATTTTCAGAAAGGCGGGAGCAGAGGTCTTGGAAAGTAGCCAAAACATTTGACCGTTTGCGACGGAATCTTCCAGCGGAAATCAACATCCAGGTGACGGCACCTTTATTTGCTGCAAGGCTGTACGACTATGGTGTGAAGGAAGGTGATAAGGAGCTTACGGGTACAATGGACGCTTCCAGCGCCGTTGATCTCAGCATTCCCTTAACTTTCTATGGTCAATCGTACAGACGGATCTACGTAAGTCGCTGCTTATTAAATAATCCTTCCTACGACGGTGACATATGAATATTATACATTAAAATTATATGTTTTTATATGAATATGATGTGATATGTTAAATGATTATGTTTCTTAAGCAACAAAGAGCAAAAGAGTAGCAGAATATGCTGGTCTTAGAGGAGTTAAACACTAATTTCATACTCCGATGTACGAAAATATCTTTGTTTATGCATTTGCATACAAGAAGTATCAGTTTCTGAAGCACCATTCATAATGAATGTAAGATAATTCTAGCGACAAAATGATGTGTGATGCATCTGACACTGCAAATGCTCCAATACCATAAGCAGGGACAGACTTAAATGGTCTCCCTAATTAACTAGGAGCAAGGGGCGGTGCAATACGCCGTGAAATCCGGTCTTGGAGCAGCTTTTCGTCAATGTGGCATGATAGATGTTTTATGAATTTGTTGAAAATTTTTAAACTTACTATCAGGTCGGTCATGATTACATGGTAATGTATATCTTGCATTAAAATGATCAACATAAGCAGAAATGAGGTTCTGAAATATTGGTACACAATGGTTATGCGAGACTCAAAACATGAGAATCAGAGACACCTTCGCTTTTAAGACACTTCTCTTTCGAACGAAAGAATACAGACGCGATTATTTGGGCCCATCATTCATTAAATCACCGGACGCGAGAGGAAACCTCGTAACCCGTGGGATCCCCCCTCCAGCCTACACCTTGACCGCTTGCAGTGCGGCTTTGCGAAGAGAACTGGCCTCGTGGGTCTCTTCCTGAAATACTGTTCAAACGTCCAAATACTAGCGACGGCGATTCCACGATTTGTCGAGTGGGAGAAAAAGCAGCTTACAATTGACCATAGTATTGTAACGTTATGAGGGTTCTAGAACCTCATCACACGAGTAATTTTTGGAGAATAACATTATGTTCCTAGCTTGTATTCTTACTCATCACCATAAACAGAAGGGAACACGCATTTGAAGACAGTTTATTACTATTGCTCGGATATTTCCTCTTTTTTGCATAAACAATTATCTACCTAGTTACCGTAAAGCTAGAAGACTTGCATGTATCTGTCCAGTCGTTTTTGCCATCACTCTAAAATGTAATTTGAGGTGCTTAAATGGCTTTTAGCCAAGCTTACATTCATTCTAACATCGTCACGTTGCAGGCTAGAATAAGAGAACGGAAAGAGCGCTACACGTCCTCCTTAACCCTCGATATTTCAAGAGTTCGTTTTTGTAATCAACAGGCGACGCCGTTAGGCATCTTGCATCGGATATGCTGACATATCCGTGTTTTTGCCTCACCAATCGACCATGTATACTGTTGATTAAAGTATTCAGCTTGTATATCCCCTTTAAGCAGGTATTATTTAGGTTCAACATCTCAATTATCACAGTAATATCCCAAAATCTTAGACTGACTGATTTTCCCGCTTCTCTTGCTGGCAGAGACTTCCGGTACCATTTATGCGGACATTGAATCAGTAGTATTTTGCAACATGCAATTTGCAAGACTTCATCCGCATCTAGCATAGATTTTATTCACCAGAGCAATATTTCGCACGAATACGATATCATACTTCTGCTTCTGATTCTGCGTTCATTGTTACAACTATGATGAATTTTATAATTCATAGATCATGGCATCAAACAATGCTAATGTTATCAGATTTTATTGCCATCGCATTTCGCTACCGCACGGTTCGACGATGATGTTATCGATGAGTATGATACAAGCTTATAACCTTCGTTTAAAGCCTTAAACGA